TTGACAAGGTGCTGTTGGCCGCCCGTCACGCTACTGTAACCAAGTCGCCTGAGACCGAATGGGAGATGCTGAAACCTAACGTAGAGCTGGTCATATCTCAGTTTTTCGACATACCTAATGTTAAACCAGTAAGTGCAGTGTCCAGCAATTGTCTTGCTGTTGACTTTCCCATTATAAGGTTGCTCCTGATTCCATTGAGTACACCCAAGAGGGCCAGGACCAGCACAATGACGATGTCGTCAAAAGCATTCATGAGATACTAGAGCAGAGGATTAAGCCTTTTGTAATGCGATGCTTGGCTCAGCGTTTTGTGGACAGGTTTTGTATCTCTTGGGCTCGGTAGTTCCCTAGTGACAGATCCATGAGATCAACAATTGGTTTCTTGGTCCGTAATAGACTTTCCTCGTGAGGTGAATTCTTCGAGGTGTGGTATGTGGCCCTCGCGTGGTTCTCAGTGCGGTTCTCACCATTTTTCCTTTGATCAGGTCGAGCGAGATGGTGGTGATGTTGAATTCATTGCGTTTGATTCGGACACCGGAGTCCTCCAAATTCGGCTCGTCGGTTCATGTAGGCATGTCGGTCATCAGTCCTATTCTGATTTCGCGCTTTATCGCTAGGTGCCGGTTGCCCCAAGTCAAGTGTAACGTTGAAATTCGGTATCCAACGAATGGTCTGCCATTACATCCCAGAAGTTAAGAATGTTATCAACATTGAAGAGCCCACTGAGGGTGAAGAGGAGGGGGTTGTGAACAGCGTGGATCCGCAAGCCAGTGCCGAGCCCAAGGCTAGCCCGAATCCTGAAGCCAGCGTCAATCGTGAAGCCAGCACTGAGCCAGAAGATAGTGCTAAGTCGCAGCAAGCCTAAAAGAGTCTTCCGCCTTATATGTAACCATTGAAGTTGCTGTTCCATAAGTCATCGAATTATTACTCGACTCTCGAGATTCGACATCAGCCTTGCGTTGGATATTTCATATGAGGTCAACTTGAGCGCTACTCGTTTGGTCGTTATGATGACCGTGACCGCCATGGGACTATCAAGTCCATTGAGTCCAATCATAGCGTCTCACGCTCCTACCGAATGCTGTATGCGAATAATATGTCGAGTTACTCAACTATTAAAATGGTGGTGATGAAATTCGGATCGTAATGACCATGCTTTCTTTGGTGCTCCTGCTGCTGCTGACTCAAGAGTGTTGGGAAGCAAGATCATACACCCTTTTCAACCACTTCGATGAGCAAGAAAATCGTGACTCATGCTTAGATAACGCGCGACGTTAGTGACGATGCTATCACACCCATCGGTGCAAAGTCATCTGTCCATTTAACAGAAACCCTTCTCGTTCAATCTGCACAAGTCAACGATCGTCATCATGAATCTGACTGATTTTTACCATCGAATAACACAACAGTGTTGAGGAAAAGAGGTACAATTATAAACTCGAATGAGGTAGAACATGTTTCGTACAGAACTCGGGAACGTCGTCAGACTCCAAGATTCTTATCAACTCGGGGGAAATTTCAACCGAAATCTGCCGCCAATCCTTTTTCGCTCTCCCAGTGCAGA